ACGTACCTATACATGGATTGTTACTTTATATGTACATGTACAGTGTGTTGGTGAACTCTATACGTACCTATACATGGATTGTTACTTTATATGTACATGTACAGTGTGTTGGTGAACTCTATACGTACCTATACATGGATTGTTACTTTATATGTACATGTACAGTGTGTTGGTGAACTCTATACGTACCTATACATGGATTGTTACTTTATATGTACATGTACAGTGTGTTGGTGAACTCTATACGTACCTATACATGGATTGTTACTTTATATGTACATGTACAGTGTGTTGGTGAACTCTATACGTACCTATACATGGATTGTTACTTTATATGTACATGTACAGTGTGTTGGTGAACTCTATACGTACCTATACATGGATTGTTACTTTATATGTACATGTACAGTGTGTTGGTGAACTCTATACGTACCTATACATGGATTGTTACTTTATATGTACATGTACAGTGTGTTGGTGAACTCTATACGTACCTATACATGGATTGTTACTTTATATGTACATGTACAGTGTGTTGGTGAACTCTATACGTACCTATACATGGATTGTTACTTTATATGTACATGTACAGTGTGTTGGTGAACTCTATACGTACCTATACATGGATTGTTACTTTATATGTACATGTACAGTGTGTTGGTGAACTATATACGTACCTATACACGGATTGTTACTTTATATGAACGCTCACATTGTACTTTACTTTTCGCGGACGTTTACAATGAATGCCGACTTTAGACGTTCCTGTACAGTGTATGCTACTTTCTATGTACATGTACAGTGCAAGTTATTTATATATATTTATACAATGTTTGTTACCTTATAGTTACGTGTGCAATGTTTGTTACTTTATACGTAATTGGACAGTGTATGTTACTTTATATGTACGTATACATTGTAGGTTACTTTAAATATACGTTAACAATGTATGTAATTTTGTTTATGTACGTATACAGTATATGATATTTTATACTGACATGTATGTTGTATTTTACTTTATATGTCCAGGTACAGTGAATGTTACTTTATATATACATGTACATTTTATGTTACTTTAAACGGACATCTACATTGCATGTTATTTCAAACTTACATATATGTTGTATGTTATATCATATTTCATGTAAATTGTATGTTATTCATACTTACATGTACATTGAATGTTACTTCATACTTACATGTGCATTGTATGTTACTTTATATTTACATGTACATTGTATGTTACTTCATACTTAAATGTATATTGTATGTTACTTTACTTACATGTACATTGTTACTTTATACTTACATGTACATTGTATGTTACTTTATACTTACATGTACATTGTATGTTACTTCATACTTACATGTACATTGTTACTTCATACTTACATGTACATTTTATGTTACTTCATACTTACATGTACATTGTATGTTACTTCATACTTACATGTACATTGAATGTTACTCATACTTACATGTTCATTGTTACTTTATACTTACATGCACATTGTATTTTACTCATAATTACATGTACAGTGTATGGTACTTCATTCTTACATATACATTGTATGGTACTTTATGCTTACATATACATTTTATGTTCCTTTATACTTAAATGTACATTTTATGTTACTTTATAATTACATGTATATTTTATGTTACTTTATACTTTCATGCACATTGTATGTTACTCATACTTACATGTACATTGTTACTTTATACTTTCATGTGCATTGTTACTTTATATATAGATGTACATTTTATGTTACTTTAAACGGACATGTACATTGCATGTTATTTCAAACTTACATATATGTTGTATGTTATATCATATTTCATGTAAATTGTATGTTATACATACTTACATGTACATTGAATGTTACTTCATACTAACATGTGCATTGTATGTTACTTTATATTTACATGTACATTGTATGTTACTTTATACTTAAATGTATATTGTATGTTACTTTACTTACATGTACATTGTTACTTTATACTTACATGTACATTGTATGTTACTCATACTTACATGTTCATTGTTACTTCATACTTACATGTACATTTTATGTTACTTCATGCTTACATGTACATTTTATGTTACTTCATACTTACATGTACATTTTATGTTACTTCATACTTACATGTACATTTTGTGTTACTTCATACTTACATGTACATTGTTACTTCATACTTACATGTACATTGATTGTTACTCATACTTACATGTACATTGTTACTTCATACTTACATGTACATTTTGTGTTACTTCATACTTACATGTACATTGAATGTTACTCATACTTACATGTACATTGTTACTTCATACTTACATGTACATTTTATGTTACTCATACTTACATGTACATTGTTAATTTATACTTTCATGTGCATTGTTACTTTATCCTTACATGTACATTGTATGTTACTTCATACTTACATGTACATTTTATGTTACTTCATGCTTACATGTACATTTTATGTTACTTCATGCTTACATGTACATTTTATGTTACTTCATGCTTACATGTACATTTTATGTTACTTCATGCTTACATGTACATTTTATGTTACTTCATGCTTACATGTACATTTTATGTTACTTCATGCTTACATGTACATTTTATGTTACTTCATGCTTACATGTACATTTTATGTTACTTCATGCTTACATGTACATTGTATGTTACTTCATACTTACATTTACATTGAATGTTACTCATACTTACATGTACATTGAATGTTACACATACTTACATGTTCATTGTTACTTCATACTTACATGTACATTGAATGTTACTAATCCTTACATGTTCATTGTTACTTCATACTTACATGTACATTTTGTGTTACTTCATACTTACATGTACATTGTTACTTCATACTTACATGTACATTTTGTGTTACTTCATACTTACATGTACATTGAATGTTTCTTCATACTAACATGTGCATTGTATGTTACTTTATATTTACATGTACATCGTATGTTACTTTATACTTAAATGTATATTGTTTGTTACTTTACTTACATGTACATTGTTACTTTATACTTTCATGTGCATTGTTACTTTATACTTACATGTACATTGTATGTTACTTTATTCTTACATGTACGTTGTATGTTACTTTATTCTTACATGTGCGTTGTATGTTACTTTATAGTTAGATGTACATTGTTACTTTATTCTTACATGTACGTTGTATGTTACTTTATAGTTAGATGTACATTGTATGCTACTTCATAGTTACATGTACATTGTATGTTACTTTATACTTACATGTAGATAGTATGTTACTTTATACTTACATGTACATTGTATGTTTCTTTATACTAACATTTACATTGTATACTACTTCATACTTACATATACATTGTATGTTACTTTATTTACATGTTCATTGTTTCTTTATACTTACATGTATATTTTATGTTACTTCATAAACATTGTTACTTTATAACTACACGCACATTTTCACTTTATACTAACATATACATTATATACTTACTTTATACTTACATGTACATTGTTTATTACTTTGTACTTACATGTACATTGTTTCTTCAAGCTTACATGTACATTGTATGTAACTTTATACTTACATGTACATTAAATGTTACTTCATACTTACATGTACATTGTATGTTACTTCATACTTACATGTACATTGTTACTTTATACTTACATGTACATTGTATGTTACTCATACTTACATGTACATTGTATGTTACTTTATGCTTATATGTACATTGTTACTTTATACTAACATGTACATGGTATGTTACTTTACTTACATGTACATTGTTACTTTATTCTTACATCTACATTGTATGTTACTCATACTTACATATCCATTGTATGTTACTTTATGCTTATATGTACATTGTTACTTTATACTAACATGTACATGGTATGTTACTTTACTTACATGTACATTGTTACTTTATACTTACATGTACATTGTATGTTACTCATACTTACATATACATTGTATGTTACTTTATGCTTATATGTACATTGTTACTTTATACTAACATGTACATGGTATGTTACTTTACTTACATGTACATTATTACTTTATACTTACATGTACATTGTATGTTTTTTGATGAATGTAATTTATAGCCACAATATACGACAGTCCGTTTCAGATATTCCGTTCAAAGAAAGTCAAAGGTAGTAAATATTATCACATCAATGAGTCAGTAGGAATATATCACCGATATGAATAGTTAAAATGAATTCAATCAAACAGCTTGTACACATTAAATCGGAACTATATCACGTTACAGAATTTGTAAAAAAACTAATTTGACAGAGTAATGCTTAAATGAAAATAGATATATGTCCCGAAAGCGATTAATATGAATCTCACATAAGGTGTTAACGTTGAACGGTAAGGAAGCCAACGGTTTCTTTCTCAAGGCTGGGACATGCTAAAGTCCTTCAAATGGTAGCTGTTGTTCCCCGATTGTTGTTCAGTGTTTAGGGTAATGGCAGCAACTTGTTTACCTGTTGTCAGTATAATGTGACCGGGTTGAATGTTGTGCATGGTGCCTTCGGTATGGTATTTCAGTGAGATAGCACTATACAGTCGGCATCATATCTGCGCTATCACATGGAGGCAAGGACACCAACATGCCCTACCTCCAGCACAGATACACACTTGCACGCATACACACCACAGATGGCGGCACGTTCTTAAATGACCTTAGCTCTTAATATAAAGTTAAACATAAGAAAACCAAACGACACAGAATCACGTGTTTGTAGCAAATAGAAAACAACTAACAGGAAATGCTAACATATTTCCAACATGTTTTAGAGATAGATCTTACCTTTCCGAAATCCTTTCTCACTTGTAGCCTTCATTGGATATCTGACAAGTTATATCATTGCGAGGGCAAACCAAGTGATAGCTCAAGTTGACCATCAGAGTACTACGATTTTATTTTGCAAGTATCATAAAAAATAAGAAGTTGAAAAATTGTCACAAGAGATTTTATATTCATAACACATAACAAATTTAAAGCTACAAATCATCCAGCATTATTTCCAAAATGTAATTTGCAGCGAGAGAGCGAGGCACGTCAATGTTTTAGCTGCTCGTCACTAACCGAACTATTTACAACGTTATGAAGTTTACAATTGTATTGAACAAGTTAATAATATGCATGTGTTTATCCACCAATGTAACATCTAGGCTCGGTTTACTTAACAAACACCAAACCGTAAGCAAAGATTTTATAAAAGCTGTTTTTCTTCATTTCTATTGATATACCTTTTATCACTTGTAAATAATTACCGCTTTTCATATCATGAAAAGTACAAAAATTAATAATCCATTTAAGATGGTGGATTAGCATCGTATCCAAACAGAAAAAAATCCATTTTGTACATTTCCTGAATTTGAGCTATGATACGTCTAGGCATGCCTACATATGCGGTAACTAAAGCTTGTCTCCGTTGAGCCTTTCTTTCTGTGCTTGATAAAGGATAAGTATGCATTGCTGCTAAAACAGCCTTGGTGATGTCTTCAACGTTAACGTTGTCATTCGTCTGAAATTCCGATAACGGAAACGATATATTTGTTCTTATGTAGCCTTGTATTTTGAATCCTTCCCACATTTTCATGAAGTAAGCGAGTTTGTTGCTACAACATGATCGCATCACAGGGTTGTCAATGGCACCCCACATTGTTTTAATGACTCCCCCCATCGTCTTATTTGTACCAGATCCACGAAACATCAGCCTTAGTGTTGATTTTATTTCGTTGCTGATGTTCAGCTGGTCGATGATGTGCTCCGTATCTTGTGTCATTGTCTCCTGTTGAATGACATACTGATATCCCACGTCACAGACTCTACACATGGCGTAAACGGGACTCCAATGTCGGTTGATGATGCTTCCATGTAGAGCTTTTGTAGTTACGCTGTCAATAAAATCTTGGAAAGATATGTTATATCCACAATCCCCTACTTCGGTTTTATAAAATCCCTTCCCTAATGACTGCGCAAGTGAATGAGCGATAGATGCAAATCGTAATAAAAAATATTTGTCTATGAATGCAGAAAATAATCTTGAATAGGGGTCACGGGAAACAACAATACCCTTTGTAGTCAATGGTTTAGGATTGGAATCTAATTTTTTAGTAAATCCAGCGCTTAAAGCGTGTATTTTATTCCTGGGAAAGCTGAAGGCTTTATTCGCCGGTATTCCTTTCTCTACGATTAAAAACACAATCGCCCAAAATGTACTTCCAGCTTTTGCGACTTTACAAACACTTATGTTCAGTTTCCTTGATTGAAAGAAAATTGCTTCGGCTTGCTGGTCCTTTATTTTGTATTGCTCTTTTCGGTCAGTACTATAACATCCTTCCTGCAAATGTTGGATACGCTTATTCCATGTATCCTTCATCCCTGTACTGTGGTCAAGGTATTGTCCCTTCATCTGATCCTGTTTGAATTCGATGTCTTGACCTGAAACAAACAAAATAATTTATATTGTTTAAACAGTCTATCTATACAGTTTAATGGTTGTCCGTTGAATGCGACGTGCATGAAATTGTAACGGTTGCCCGTTAAATGCTATACATTTGTTATGGTCGTCAATAGGATAATATTCATTCGCAAAAGTGAAATGTTTTAATTTGTAAATGTTGCCCATTGAAAATGCTATACATATGTAACGGTTGCCCGTCTATTGCTACATGTATGCCATTTTAATGGTTGCCCGTTAAATGATACACGTTTGTAATGGTTACGCATTGAATATTATACCTAAGTAATGGTTGTCCATGTAATACTACTTGTATTTTTTATTAATTACACATTAGATCGGGTAGAAGAGTTAAAATGTCGCCACTAGTCACCGTTTTGTTTTGCGACTTGTAGATTTGTGGTCGAAATCGGTTATCATAATCAAATTTAAAACCTGAAAATGTGTCTGTTAAATATAGAAACTACATAAAAACTATTAATTGAACTGTATGTTATTCACATTTTACTTGACTCAAATTATTTTCCGGATTCTTATATCAGTATCATGCTCGGAAACAAACGTGAACATCTGCCTTCCTCTCTCAGTTCCGTGTACATTCAACTAGCTGCGGAAACCATAGTTTCTAGGCCCGATCGTTTTTGTTTTATTATATTTTTTATTATTATCGGACCCTCTGTACCACCTTGTATCTTAAAAGAGGAAGGTAACACAGGTGGTTGCACTTTAAAGATAAAGTAATCGATACAGTTTGCCAAAATCTAATTACACTGCATCAAACAGCTGTTTTGTCCTTCTAGGGTCCGATAATAATAAATAAAAAATAAAAAAAGATCGGGCCTAGAAGCTACGGTTCCTGTAGCTAACATTTAACAAGCCACTTTGTGTTTTAATAAAATAAACAGCGTATGTTATAAAATATGGCGTTACACCTTCTCCGACAGGAACGAGCGTATGTTAAAGTTTGATTATACGTTTGAAACGTTTGTAGGCGGTAAAAAATTAGGAAATACCATTAACTACGTATAAAAAATACAAATCATCTGGATATGGACCCGATAAGTGTTTAAGACATGTTTATCCAAGTATGCAGGGTCACCTAAATCAAGATATATACTGGCTCCCAAATGAAGCGTTACATTATTGTATGGACAGTGTTTCATTATTATATTGAAAATGCTGAACTTTTACACAGTTAAAATGGATATCAATATGAATTGTATCAAATAATTTACTTCAGTTTCATTTGAATGTCTCTATGCAACGACGTCTCTAGTGTTATCCAGCGTACGGTACGTACAACTCAAATTCACACAATTAATATCGCGCGAAAGACCCCTGGCGTTGATCACAGCCAGACAACAACGTCGCATGTAAGTAATGAGTCGGTTTATAGACCTCATCGGGATCCTCCACCTTCCTTCCAGAAAGGCCATCCTCAACTGATCCAACTTTTGAGACTGCTGACGTCGAAGCCTTATTCGTCTGTCCAACTGATCCAAGAGGTTCTCAGTTGGATTGAGATAAGGGCAAGGCGATTGCCAATCAATCAATTACGCGTTCAACATGAGCATGTGCGTTATCTTGTTGAAACGTGCCACCATGCGTCATCGTGAATGAAACAATATATCTGGTGCCTAATACACTGGTCGTTCAGGCTTCCGTCAGCGATCACAAGTTCTGTCTCTGCGCCTATTGCCACCTCTCAAAATGACATTTCCAGCACCAAACCGATCATGAAGCAAGGTGCAGGCGTTCAGATAACGATTATCACTCGCCTTCTGACATCCGAGCGACAGTGTAGATATCCGGGACTCATCCTTTAATAGAACTTGTTGCAATGTCGTAGAGACAATCGTAAATACCGTTGTACCCATGCTGAACGCCTTTGTATATGACGTCGGATAAATCGAAGTACACGATACGTTCCGTTAGAATATAGCCTACCTCGACCAATCCACGGATTACAGTTTGCGGACTAATGTGAGGGTGATTGGGGATGTTGGAAGCGGTCGTTGCCGCCGTTACTGTCCGATTACGCAGACGACGTAAGCAGATACATCTATCTGTCCTATTCTACGTGACAAAAAATGCGGCTTTCCCGACCTTGGTCGATTGGCCGTCGAATTCGTGACGGCTATAAACCAGCTCCAAAGACTGGATATGGCTATCCTGGACACACCAAACCTCCCCTTTCACGGCCAGCCTAACGTCAGTAAGCCGTGGCATTGCTAATATGGCTTGGACACTGAAACAACGATTTTTTCTTCTCCATATACTGACTTATACCGTGACCCGATAAAAAGAAAAAACAAAGCCTTTAACAATTTGTTTACACAGTACACAAGCAAAACCTTCCGCGCGTAAATCGAGTTCAAGGCTACGCTTCACTGAATTTTGTCGACGTTTACTTGTCCAACCTCAAGCCAACCCGCGGGAATAATATAACAAAGCAATTAGGTTAATTTAAGATGTTATGAAAATGCAATATTACAAAACGTTATGTTTCATTTTGGGACAAGTATAAATTATCTTTAATTCTACCAAGGTCACCTTTTATTGGTTAATAACCATGGATTATTGGACGATGGATCATGCGCGAGCCTGTGTTATTTTCCAACAGACCAACGCTCTTTTCCCGCCAATAAACCGGTAACAATTTGCTAGCGGACAAATAGAAAATCCTATATCTAGATCTACTTAAATCTTCAAGCTCACTGTCAGAATGTTCCGCTGACCTTACCGCGAAGGTGACTTGAAATAAAGTTTGTGTATCCATCAAATGTTGATTTCATGTGTTGACAAGCGATGTCAATAGAATGATTCAAATCAACACATGGCAAAAAGCATGACGTCAGTGTTTGTTGAAAAATGGAAAAAAAAAATCACAAAATAGAACAACAGCCCACAGGGTAAGAACTGATAGAAACGTGCGGCTTCTTGCGAAATAAAGACATTTAGGCAGCACGTGACAAACGTTAACGCGCCCAAAAGAACAGCCTTATGTAGATAATTAGATTATCTGAGTCGCCTTGTTTATCATAAGCGTGACAAAAAACAGACATTCATTTCATTTTGCTTGGTATAATACATATAATCAACATTGATTTTATATTATAGTGGAGTATCTGACTCGGGATTCGAAAATGTTTGAAAAATAATCAATTCAGGCCGCAAGCGGATTTCGTTAATTATTTTTTTCAATATTTTCTCTTCCTCGTTATCTTTTCCACGCACATTACGTTGATTATTTCTTAAATGCCGTTTGTACGTGCCGAGAGCACTAACACAAAGCGATTATATGTCTGTAGTACAGATATGGCATGCGTAGGTATACATGCCGTTTGTACGTGCCGACAGCACTAACACAACGCGAGTATATGTCTGTAACGCGTAGGTATACATGCCGTGTGTACGTGCCGAGTGCACTAACACAAAGCGAGTATATGTCTGTAATGCGTAGCTATACATGCCTTTTGTACGTGCCGAGAGCACTAACACAAATCGAGGATATGGCTGGAGTACAGAAATGGCATGCGTAGGTATACATGCCGTTTGTACGTGCCGACAGCACTAACACAACGCGAGTATATGTCTGTAATGCGTAGGTATACATGCCGTGTGTACGTGCCGAGAGCACTAACACAAAGCGAGTATATGTCTGTAGTACAGAAATGGCATGCGAAGGTATAAATGCCGTTTGTACGTGCCGAGAGCACTAACACAAAGCGAGTATATGTCTGTAATGCGTAGGTATACATGCCATGTGTACGTGCCGAGAGCACTAACACAAAGCGAGTATATGTCTGTAGTACAGATATGGCATGCGGAGGCATACATGCCGTCTGTACGTGCCGAGAGCACTAACACAAAGCTAGTATATGTCTGTAGTACAGAAATGGCATGCGAAGGGATAAATGCCGTTTGTACGTGCCGAGAGCACTAACACAAAGCGAATATATGTCTGTAGTACAGAAATGGCATGTGTAGGTATACACGCCGTTTGTACGTGCCGAGAGCACTACCACAAGGCGAGTATATGTCTCTAGTAAAGATATGGCATGCGGAGGTATAAATGCCGTTTGTACGTGCCGAGAGCACTAACACAAAGCGAGTATATGTCTGTAGTACAGATATGGCATGTGGAGGTATACATGACGTCTGTACGTGCCGAGAGCACTAACATAACGCGAGTACATGTCTGTAGTACAGATATGGCATGCGTAGATATAAATGCCGTTTGTACGTGCCGAGAGCACTACCTCAACGCGAGTATATGTATGTAGTAAAGATATGGCATGCGGGGGGATACATGCCGTTTGTACGTGCCGAGAGCACTACCACAAAGCGAGTATATGTCTGTAGTAAAGATATGGCATGCGGAGGTATAAATGCCGTTTGTACGTGCCGAAAGCACTAACATAAAGCGAGTATATGTCTGTAGTACAGATATGGCATGCGTAGGTATACATGCCGTCTGTACGTGCCGAGAGCACTAACACAAAGCGAGTATATGTCTGTAGTACAGATATGGCATGCGAAGGTATAAATGCCGTTATATTCTAATTCGCTTCCCTCAAACGAACATAAATTATTTATCATATAAAACTCCAACTCTTTACCGGGAGTTCGTCCGCCTAGCAACGAGGACGTACATATTTATTCAGGTAAAATTACATGGAAATCGGAAAATGGATCCGTAATCCCAGTGCTGTGCGGGAATTGCTGGCCACTTCGTCTTGTCCTTCATGCTCCAAAATAGCTGTACACAAATCAGGTTGTTTCATTCCCCATGTGAAAGGATTGCTGGAAATATAATGTAACAGCCACCCAAAAACTGAACAAGTACTAACAAGAATGGGCGGGTGGGCGGGAAGTCCGGACTGATCAACAGCTAGGCGAACACAGACACCTGTACGTGTCGCTACTGTCCCAAGCATACCTGTCCCACGTGCACTAGTAGCTGCACGTGCGAGACAAG